TCCTTGGAAAACAAACACACTATTGTCGTTCTCCGAGATGCCTGACAACAAAACACTTGTGTGCGCTTAATATGGGCAACAGAACTTCCAAGAAAGATCAAAAGGAAAACAGAATGGAAAAAAGTGGTGAACATATCCTTATTGCCTACAACAAGAGGACGAGATGACCAATGTATAGAAACGGGAGACTGTCTTTGATTCCTTGGAAAAAGACTGACAGGACAATGCAGTTACAAAGAAAAATAAAAAAAGACAGGTACAAACAATAAACATACTAGGTATCAAGTTTCGTAAACCCAGTGACAACAAAAATTTACCAGATTTAACAAAAACAAACAAACAAAAAACCTAACCCAGTTTAATTTTGCTACAAATTTTACATGTAAACAAAGTACTTTGAAAGTTGGCAAAGGCATTATTTTGTATAATAGTATTTTTACAGCTTATTTATCAAATTTGGCCACACAAATGTTATTCTGTGTGTGTGTGTGTGTGTGTGTGTGTGTGTGTTTGTGTGTGTTTGTGTGTGTGTGAGTGTGTGTGTGAGTGGTTCAGTGAGTGTGTGTGTGTTCATCTTCATCTCTTTGTATCTCACTCTGAATGTGTGTAGTGGAGTGAGAACAAGGTCAGAAGCTCATTGGTCAGTTCTGGTGATTGACAGGTCAGAATCTCCAAGCTACAGGCCCCTCCGTTTCAGACCTATAAATGGACTCCCATCTCACTCTGCTCTGAATCGCCTCATTCGAACAAACTCTCTGCTGGTAAGTGTAGTAAGTTTTTATCATTGCAATGTTTTACAGCTTATTTTGCTCCAAGCATTCCGAACTGCAGATGAAATTGCAAAACTAACTACATAATGACTAGAAATGTGTTTGCAAAAGACAGAAAGTAAGTTAATGGTCCATAAAATTGCTTCAACACTTAAACTTTTACAGTCATTTGAGGGAAAAGTTAAACAGCTTGAAATTGCTTTCAAACATTTTCACATTTTTAGTGCTTATTGTAATTATTCCAGAAAACGTCGAACGCTGCACTACATTAAGATGTCAGACTTAGAGAACTGCCTGGGAACCATCATTGAGGTCTTCCACAAATACTCATCCAAAGAAGGCGACAAGTACAAATTAAAAAAGACCGAACTCAAGGAGTTGCTCACAAATGAATTTCCGACTCTTACCGAGGTAATTAATCTTCAAACTTTAATTAAACTTTAATTAAAATACACTTTGGATTGAAATTTAAAGAATGTTGATTTTCAATTAAGGCTTTGTGTCAGAATTGAGTTTTTGGGTCAAAAATTTGGTTAAAAATATTTTTAATGGTGAGCGAATTCGCTCTTTTCATATTTAAGCTTTTTCTTTTCCAACTCTCACAGAAGTAATTAAACTTCAAACTTTTTTTTTACTCTACAATTTGTCTTGAAATTTAAAGAATGTTTGATTTACAATCAAAGCGTTATGTCAGAACTAAGTTTTTGTGTCAAAAATTTATGATTAAATATTTTGACGTGAATTATCAATTTTTATCCATTTTAATTACCGAGGAAATTAAACTTCAAACTTTTTTTTTTTTTTACACTACACTTTGTCTTGAAACTTAAAGAATGGTTGATTTACAGTCAAGGCTTTATGTCAGAATTTAGATTTTGTGTCAAAAATTTACAAATAAATATTTTTAATGCGAAGCGAATTAGCTATTTTACTATTTCTTAAGTTTTTCTTTTTATCTCGCTCAGCATGTGAAAGATCAAGCAACAATGGACAGTTTGATGGAAAGCTTGGACACCGATGGTGACTCGGAGTGTGATTTTCAGGAGTTCATGACCTTCATCACCATGGTTACCATCTGTTGCCATGAGTTTTTCGAACACCACGAAGACGAATGAGTTGAATGTAATAAAACAAGTTCAGTTTTCGTAGTTTAATAAGTCACAATACATTCCTTCTCTTAAAGTTTGCTTTGTTCTTTATCATATCATATTAGGATTGCTGATTTGTTTGGAAAGAATGTACATGCAGCTTGTACGACAGTTTGTTTGGCTTATTTTGCTAGACTCAAAACTAGTTCATAATTTATTACAAAACATGTTTCTATTATTTTGTCTAGCCATTTTTTTTTCTCCAAGACCTCCCCATCATAAATCTCATCGAGTGAAATGCAGACCAAGTGTTGTACTTTTGCCATTTCAATTCTAGGCTGATTGCGAAATGTTTTTTTTTTTTATTAGGCTGCTATTGACTTACGTCGGATTGTTCTGGGGCCTGAGACAAATCATACTGTGCTTTAAAAAGACCCACCAAAGGGAATTATTCTTTTGAAAATATATAATATGATGTTTACAACTGTCCCATATGTTATTAGAGGCATGAAAACTCATGTTTTTCATGTATTAAATGTCCAGAATATTTACTAGTAGATTTAATAGTACATGAAATGTGTTTTCCAACTGTAACCTAAGCTAACAGTCAATGTCAAAACATCACACTTAATTCATGAAACAAGGCATTTTCTGTGTAAATCGTGCATAAATCTACTTGCATGCAAATTATTAAACTGAATACGACAATTTACTTAAGAATGTATTATGAACAATTTACAAAAATTTGTGTAACAAGGCCCTAAAATGAATGTTTCCTTATAACATTAAACAAAAGATGAACAAGTTTCAGAAACCAAACTTATGGAATGAAATCTAGCTAAATAAAATTGTGAACAAATGAAATTCAAGTAACTGTGGATTTTTGAAACATTGATTGCATTAGTTTAAAATAAAGATGTTTAATATAATTCCATTAATATCCCATCATTAACACAACATTTATCTTTATCCACAAATCCTATTGTGTTAGTTATAGTATACTTCGTGGTTCAATGTTTTTGAACAAAACAGAATTAATAGTTAATTGCAATATTTATTTAAAATGTAATTTAAGAGAATTTGTGAAGAGGAACTGAGCCCAATATAAATCAAGAAAATCATTAGTTATATGTTTGGCGTTACCTTCTCCTCCAGAAAAATTTGGACATCCACAACTGTTTACAGGATGCCTGTAAACAACTGCTTGGCATTGACCCTCGTGACTTCCATTGATTTAGATGTCCCGCAGGTATTCTCATTACCCAGCACAAACCGTCAATACAGAGGCCTTCACATCCGTGTGTTAATTAACAGATCAATGGTCACGCAGCAAGACCCTGAAAGATGATAAAAATAATATGCACACAATCTGATAAAGAATACCTTCTTCATCTCAAGTATGTTTACATTAAGCAGCCTGAAAATCACCTACATATTTATACGCAATACACAAATCCAAACAGTCAAATACAAGTTTGTTTGAAGGACTTTTAAGTACTGACCAATCACAGACTGCCATACTGAATGCTCCCGATAAGTGGCAGTGTTGTGCCGTACCAACTGAAGTTCCCTGATCTGAGCAGTGGAAATGAGAAATGTGTTGAGGTGGAGGGTGGACGCAATATCATAAAGCCACTGGATTTATTTGACAATGCAATAAAGCATAAAATAAATAAATAAAACATGATAAAAATAAGTGTTATTATTAAGTCCACGGTATTTCTGGAGTGAAAGATGAGTGCCTTGGGGTGATTGCTTTGGCTGAGCTGAGCAAATTAGGCGCTCTGTCTGTGTGTGTGTGTGTGTGTGTGTGTTTACCCAGCTGTGTGGTCTGACTATGACCAGTCTTTTAGCATCTCACAGTAGGTAATGTCCCATGAGGTCACTGGATTGGATACCAGGGTAGAATTTGGGAACTCAGCTTGCTGCCAAAAAGGAGCTCTGTGGCGGTATTCAGTCTGCTGCTTCTGGAACACTTGTCAAAAAATCACAAATATATGACATTATGTTACATTATGATGCTTTTCTAGCTATCTACCAATTTTCTATCTATCTATCTATCTATCTATCTATCTATCTATCTATCTATCTATCTATCTGTGTCTGTAGTTACAGTTGTTGTTAAATTAGAATAAGAATAATACATTTAAATGGCAAATTATTATTATTATTATTATTATTATTATTATTCAAACAGACAAAACCTTGCTTATGGTAACAAATATCTGTAACAACAAACAAAAATTCGGAAAAAAAATATACTTTTGAAAACTTATTAGGTTAAAGTTTCTTGAAAATGTAATCTACAGATTGCGTTAATGCATTGTGTGTGTGTGTGTGTGTGTTTGTCTCGTTGTGTCAAAGCTGTTTAATAGTCCAGTGGTGTTTAGGACACACGTCTGGCCAATTCTATAACAGAAAAGGATCGGCTGATTAACATGCCACACCACTCACTTCCTCTCAAACACACTATTGTCGTTCTCCGAGATGCCTGACAACAAAACACTTGTGTGCGCTTAATATGGGCAACAGAACTTCCAAGAAAGATCAAAAGGAAAACAGAATGGAAAAAAGTGGTGAACATATCCTTATTGCCTACAACAAGAGGACGAGATGACCAATGTATAGAAACGGGAGACTGTCTTTGATTCCTTGGAAAAAGACTGACAGGACAATGCAGTTACAAAGAAAAATAAAAAAAGACAGGTACAAACAATAAACATACTAGGTATCAAGTTTCGTAAACCCAGTGACAACAAAAATTTACCAGATTTAACAAAAACAAACAAACAAAAAACCTAACCCAGTTTAATTTTGCTACAAATTTTACATGTAAACAAAGTACTTTGAAAGTTGGCAAAGGCATTATTTTGTATAATAGTATTTTTACAGCTTATTTATCAAATTTGGCCACACAAATGTTATTCTGTGTGTGTGTGTGTGTGTGTGTGTGTGTGTGTTTGTGTGTGTTTGTGTGTGTGTGAGTGTGTGTGTGAGTGGTTCAGTGAGTGTGTGTGTGTTCATCTTCATCTCTTTGTATCTCACTCTGAATGTGTGTAGTGGAGTGAGAACAAGGTCAGAAGCTCATTGGTCAGTTCTGGTGATTGACAGGTCAGAATCTCCAAGCTACAGGCCCCTCCGTTTCAGACCTATAAATGGACTCCCATCTCACTCTGCTCTGAATTGCCTCATTCTGACAAACTCTCTGCTGGTAAGTCTAGTAAGTTTTTATCATTGCAATGTTTTACAGCTTATTTTGCTCCAAGCATTCCGAACTGCAGATGAAATTGCAAAACTAACTACATAATGACTAGAAATGTGTTTGCAAAAGACAGAAAGTAAGTTAATGGTCCATAAAATTGCTTCAACACTTAAACTTTTACAGTCATTTGAGGGAAAAGTTAAACAGCTTGAAATTGCTTTCAAACATTTTCACATTTTTAGTGCTTATTGTAATTATTCCAGAAAACGTCGAACGCTGCACTACATTAAGATGTCAGACTTAGAGAACTGCCTGGGAACCATCATTGAGGTCTTCCACAAATACTCATCCAAAGAAGGCGACAAGTACAAATTAAAAAAGACCGAACTCAAGGAGTTGCTCACAAATGAATTTCCGACTCTTACCGAGGTAATTAATCTTCAAACTTTAATTAAACTTTAATTAAAATACACTTTGGATTGAAATTTAAAGAATGTTGATTTTCAATTAAGGCTTTGTGTCAGAATTGAGTTTTTGGGTCAAAAATTTGGTTAAAAATATTTTTAATGGTGAGCGAATTCGCTCTTTTCATATTTAAGCTTTTTCTTTTCCAACTCTCACAGAAGTAATTAAACTTCAAACTTTTTTTTTACTCTACAATTTGTCTTGAAATTTAAAGAATGTTTGATTTTCAATCAAGGCGTTATGCCAGAATTGAGTTTTTGTGTCAAAAATTTGATTAAATATTTTTAATGCTAAGCGAGTTAGCTATTTTCATATTTAAGCTTTTTCTTTCCCGACTCTCACAGAAGTAATTCAACTTCAAACTTTTTTTTTACTCTACAATTTGTCTTGAAATTTAAAGAATGTTTGATTTACAATCAAAGCGTTATGTCAGAACTAAGTTTTTGTGTCAAAAATTTATGATTAAATATTTTGACGTGAATTATCAATTTTTATCCATTTTAATTACCGAGGAAATTAAACTTCAAACTTTTTTTTTTTTTTACACTACACTTTGTCTTGAAACTTAAAGAATGGTTGATTTACAGTCAAGGCTTTATGTCAGAATTTAGATTTTGTGTCAAAAATTTACAAATAAATATTTTTAATGCGAAGCGAATTAGCTATTTTACTATTTCTTAAGTTTTTCTTTTTATCTCGCTCAGCATGTGAAAGATCAAGCAACAATGGACAGTTTGATGGAAAGCTTGGACACCGATGGTGACTCGGAGTGTGATTTTCAGGAGTTCATGACCTTCATCACCATGGTTACCATCTGTTGCCATGAGTTTTTCGAACACCACGAAGACGAATGAGTTGAATGTAATAAAACAAGTTCAGTTTTCGTAGTTTAATAAGTCACAATACATTCCTTCTCTTAAAGTTTGCTTTGTTCTTTATCATATCATATTAGGATTGCTGATTTGTTTGGAAAGAATGTACATGCAGCTTGTACGACAGTTTGTTTGGCTTATTTTGCTAGACTCAAAACTAGTTCATAATTTATTACAAAACATGTTTCTATTATTTTGTCTAGCCATTTTTTTTTCTCCAAGACCTCCCCATCATAAATCTCATCGAGTGAAATGCAGACCAAGTGTTGTACTTTTGCCATTTCAATTCTAGGCTGATTGCGAAATGTTTTTTTTTTTTATTAGGCTGCTATTGACTTACGTCGGATTGTTCTGGGGCCTGAGACAAATCATACTGTGCTTTAAAAAGACCCACCAAAGGGAATTATTCTTTTGAAAATATATAATATGATGTTTACAACTGTCCCATATGTTATTAGAGGCATGAAAACTCATGTTTTTCATGTATTAAATGTCCAGAATATTTACTAGTAGATTTAATAGTACATGAAATGTGTTTTCCAACTGTAACCTAAGCTAACAGTCAATGTCAAAACATCACACTTAATTCATGAAACAAGGCATTTTCTGTGTAAATCGTGCATAAATCTACTTGCATGCAAATTATTAAACTGAATACGACAATTTACTTAAGAATGTATTATGAACAATTTACAAAAATTTGTGTAACAAGGCCCTAAAATGAATGTTTCCTTATAACATTAAACAAAAGATGAACAAGTTTCAGAAACCAAACTTATGGAATGAAATCTAGCTAAATAAAATTGTGAACAAATGAAATTCAAGTAACTGTGGATTTTTGAAACATTGATTGCATTAGTTTAAAATAAAGATGTTTAATATAATTCCATTAATATCCCATCATTAACACAACATTTATCTTTATCCACAAATCCTATTGTGTTAGTTATAGTATACTTCGTGGTTCAATGTTTTTGAACAAAACAGAATTAATAGTTAATTGCAATATTTATTTAAAATGTAATTTAAGAGAATTTGTGAAGAGGAACTGAGCCCAATATAAATCAAGAAAATCATTAGTTATATGTTTGGCGTTACCTTCTCCTCCAGAAAAATTTGGACATCCACAACTGTTTACAGGATGCCTGTAAACAACTGCTTGGCATTGACCCTCGTGACTTCCATTGATTTAGATGTCCCGCAGGTATTCTCATTACCCAGCACAAACCGTCAATACAGAGGCCTTCACATCCGTGTGTTAATTAACAGATCAATGGTCACGCAGCAAGACCCTGAAAGATGATAAAAATAATATGCACACAATCTGATAAAGAATACCTTCTTCATCTCAAGTATGTTTACATTAAGCAGCCTGAAAATCACCTACATATTTATACGCAATACACAAATCCAAACAGTCAAATACAAGTTTGTTTGAAGGACTTTTAAGTACTGACCAATCACAGACTGCCATACTGAATGCTCCCGATAAGTGGCAGTGTTGTGCCGTACCAACTGAAGTTCCCTGATCTGAGCAGTGGAAATGAGAAATGTGTTGAGGTGGAGGGTGGACGCAATATCATAAAGCCACTGGATTTATTTGACAATGCAATAAAGCATAAAATAAATAAATAAAACATGATAAAAATAAGTGTTATTATTAAGTCCACGGTATTTCTGGAGTGAAAGATGAGTGCCTTGGGGTGATTGCTTTGGCTGAGTTGAGCAAATTAGGCGCTCTGTCTGTGTGTGTGTGTGTGTGTGTGTGTTTACCCAGCTGTGTGGTCTGACTATGACCAGTCTTTTAGCATCTCACAGTAGGTAATGTCCCATGAGGTCACTGGATTGGATACCAGGGTAGAATTTGGGAACTCAGCTTGCTGCCAAAAAGGAGCTCTGTGGCGGTATTCAGTCTGCTGCTTCTGGAACACTTGTCAAAAAATCACAAATATATGACATTATGTTACATTATGATGCTTTTCTAGCTATCTACCAATTTTCTATCTATCTATCTATCTATCTATCTATCTATCTATCTATCTATCTATCTATCTGTGTCTGTCTGTCTGTCTTTCTATGTATGTCTGTCTATCAATACATAAATACCATTTGGAAATTATATCTTCATGAGCTATGGAGGTTCTCATTTGAAATGAGCAATGATTAACATACATTCATTTCCCTACCATCCAGATTTTTCATTTTCTTTCCATCATTAGGGATTCAAGGCAGCTTTGAGAACACTTGAAAGAGAACGTGGAGAATGCAGAGAGAGAGAGAGAGAGATGGGATTGAGTGACTGTATATTTCTTATATAGGCTGCGTATGTGTGCGTTTTGAGCGAGAGATGCAGACAGAAGGCATTTTAATGACATCCACCATCATGGATAAACACTTATTTGATTATATAGATGCCTCAAGATGCAACATAATTGGAAGTACCTCACTGTGAGCGCTTGCCAATCACTGATTGATTGTTTATGTCTACATGTGTGCAGACCTTCTGCATCAGAGTGCAAAACCTTACTGATCTGATATACATTATCATTTCCACAAAGCCAACTATCACTGCTGATTGGTTGACACATTGTAAAGGTGTTGATTGAGTGTGAATATCCAGACAGCTATAAAGTAATTTCAGCTTAGTAGTTCCGCTTTGCACCAAAGGTGTGTCAGCACGTGTCTATATATATATATA